TAGAAAATTAAGATTCTAGAGCTGTTAGAAGCTTTTCTAATATATTAATAAAAATCGATATACTTTCTGAGGTTGGAGAAGTCACACAGAATTAAGAAATATAATATCGAAATTAAGATTCTAGAGCTGTTAGAAGCTTTTCTAATATAATGAAAAAATTGATATGCTTTCTGAGGTTGGAAAAGCCACACAAAATTAAGAAAGATAATATCGAAATTAAGATTCTAGAGCTGTTAGAAGCTTTTCTAATATAATAAAAAAGTCGATATTGTTTTTAACGTTCTGTGAGCCACACACACAAAGTTTCAGTAGGGGAATCGGACTTTGTCCTCAAACCCCCACTTTCACATTGTGTACTTTAAATTACAGTAACAAATGTAATTAAATACTGATAATCAATAAAAATAACTTACAATCTAAACAATTAAATATTTTTTTTAAATAAAAAATTTAATTGACTTTAAATTATAATAACAAATTAATAATCAATAAAAATAACTTACTCCCTAATAAAATTTTTTTTTTTAAATAAAAAATTTAGTTAACTTTAAATTACGAAAACAAGTGTAATTAAATACTGATAATCAATAAAAATAACTTACTATCTAAACAATTAAATATTTTTTTTTAAATAAAAAATTAAATTAACTTTAAATTATAATAATAAGTATAATTATTAATTAATATTCTACTTTCTATAATATTATAAAGAATATTAATATTTTTTATATAAATTATAATAAATATAAAAAAAATAATTAAATAAAAATAATTTACCATCTAAATTATTAATATTTTATTTTAATAAAATTTGATTTATGAATTATTATAAATATTAAGTAACAATTATAAAATATAAATAATTTACCAACTAAAAGATTAATAATTAACATTAAAATTTTTTATATAATAAATTAAGTTTAAATTATAATATAAAATAATTAACTTACTCCCTATAGTATTATTGATTATTAAATATTTTTTTAAATATAATATAATTAAATTTAAAATTAAAATATAATAAAGTTAAATGGTTTACAATCTAAGTATTATTATTATTAAATTTTTTTTAAAAAAATATTAATTATTAAATAATTATATAAATAAATAATTAGATAATAAGTTTATTACCATTTAATTCTTTAAATGTAGGAGTATCTGAAACTGATTCTATTATAATATAAAATTTTGGAATTAATTAATATTAGTTGTATTACCATTATCATTTCAAACAAAAATGAGTATAATTAACGGTATATATTACCTTCTAATGAGGAAGCTTTTTTAGCATCCGAAGCTGGCTCTAATATAAATTCATGAAAAAAAAAGATTAAAATATTATCAAACCATCAAATTAACTAATTTTAGTCATTCGAAGCTTCATACCTTTTATTCCTTTTTCTTGTTTGGTGAAAATACTTTTTAGTTTCTTTATTACACTATTACCTTTATAATTATTAGACATTTTTATAATTTATAAAAATAAGTTTTTTTTTTTAAAAAAAAGAAAATTATTATTGTATAACGATAACTGAATGTAATAGTAATACATATTGTCAAGGTATGTAGATCATACCGTTTGTATGTGTTACGGTAAAAAAATTTAGTAGGCGATTCGTGTAACTCCAACGACCGGCCATTTTTATATACCTTATTTACATAAAACTAACACTAACACTAAGAGATAGAGGATAAGAGATAGAGAAAAAGGTAAAGGTAAAGATAGAAGAGGAATTTAACCTCAAGGAATAAAGGTTGTTTAAATATTTATTTTTTTTTTAAACAAAAAAAAAAAATATTTGGTTCTGCCGCGACGGCACAGTCAGGTACATAATGAAATTGTTTTTTTTCTACTATTATGTATTTTCTATTCCTATTGTTGATTATTGATTTAATTAATAATAAATTAATTAATTAATAATTATTGATTAATGATTTTGTTTATTTTTTTCGATTTTTGATTTTATAGGTTAGATCAGTAGATTTACCACTTTGGCTTATTGCAAAGGCGTAGTCAGGTATGTTTATATTGTCTATTTTATCGTAAATTAATAATTTTTTTTTCGATTTTATAGGTTAGGGCCGATTCCGCCCTTTCGGACGAATGCGGGCGCGGCACTTCGGGTGGGACCCTTCGGCTCGTCACGGCGATAACTTAATAAAGGATATTACAACTAAAGCAGTATAATAACCATAACTAGCGGCGACAAAGTCGCCGCACACCAACCTAATCTAGTTAATCAAAAAAGAAAGTTTCGTACCCTTTTTTAAAATTCAATAAATTTTGTAATAAAAATATTTTGTTAATTTATTAATTAGAAATGTTTACTGTGGCGTAGCATTTTGTTTGATATCCGTAAGGTGATATTCGATCGCTGCGATCCAAATTTAAATAAAAAATATTAAAAAACAATAAATACAGTCGACCCTCTTTATACTCACCAATATATAGTCTAGTCCCATTCCCCCTTTATAAGCACACTTACATTGGCCCAAGTTACTAATAAACTTATTAAAAAAAAACCTCTCTTTAGTCACATAATGTATTTTTATAATCACATCATTTTTTCGGGTGTGACTAGGGATCGACTGTACAACACTTCTTTCTGAAGAAGGCAATTTCGAAATACGAATGAAAGGACAGTCTAATATCTAAATTAATTGTGACGAAAATCTTTTTGAAATTTTGAAAAAGGGTTGTGTCACCACACATGGTAATGCAAGTTTGTATATCTATAATTTTTGAATCAAATTTATGTAATATTAAAAATAGAATATTTGGAGTTGGGACTTTTTTCCTTATAAAAAGCCCAAACTCGGAATTCGAGAAATTAATAACTACATTCACAAAGAAAACTCTATTAATATAAAAAAATATTTATTAGCTACACTTTCCATGGTCAATGCAATTCCACATCGACTTCAACAAAGGTCTATTTCATTTGGTTCATGTCCCCCTCTTAAAGGGACCAATCCACCACCCCTAATCTCCGTAGAAGTTTCTTCTAATACTATCGTCCCCGGACAAACCAATGTTGTTGTTGTTTCCGGAAGTTTAGATAAAGATATTAATGAATTAACCCAACTTATTGCGATCCTACAACTAATAAATCCATAGGCGATATAAAACATAATACGATTTGTTCTGCAAATGGGTGTCCAATTACAGCTGGAACTCAATTTACTAAACATATAACGGATTTGTTGACACCACCCCAACTACCTGGTTCAGCTGATAATTTATTTTGGGTATTCAGAATATAAGTAATTTTGTGATTTAGATTCAAAGACAAATTTTGTTATAAAATCATCCAAAATTGAAATAAAATTTGGACTTATTTCGGAAGTATGGTATTTATCTAGTTTTCAATAAATTTGATTATTTATTCCGAAATATTTTTATTTATTTATTAATTGCCCATCTAAATTAATATGTAACATTGATAAAATATGTAAAATGACTATAAATAACATATGACCGCTGAATTGGAAAATTCCTTTTTTTTTTTATTATTACAATCTTTAAATGTGAAGTGTTATTTATTTATTTTTCTATTAATGATTAATTTATAATGTAAAATTTAATAAAAAAAAAAAAAAAAAACTGTCGACGAAATGATGTGAAATATAATCGGTGAAACGTTGTCGGTGAAATGATCCTATCGGTGAAGTGTTTGTCGGTAAAATAATTGTCGATAAAACGTTTGTCGGTGAAATGAACCGGACCCCTCCACACACGATAAAATGTGAATCATGTACCATTTAACTTATTTCTCCTGCCAAGCTTCTTAAAGGCTTTCTTGAGCCCTTCTTATTTTTAAAACCCTTTCGTATAACCAAAACTTCTTGTATAATAGGTGCCAGATTATGCTACGAGAATAGCTGGTGCGAGCTTATCTTATGTGGTATTGCCACATCGAGTAATTCGAAACAACAAGTCTCTATCTCTACATTATTAAATATATACTTGAGGAAAAGAATTAGGCCGTTGGATGCGAGATCTGGCATCTTTGGAATTGCTATAATTAAAGATCATTGACAAAAATTTTGATTTGTAAATCAACTCATCTTTTGCATACAACTTCTTCAATTCATTCTTGTAATTCATCGAATTTCACAAACGGAACAATCAGTTCAAGCATCCCGTTGGCACCTTGTGATAAAGTATGGTTAAAATCCGTTTTTTATGAGTTTATAATTTTTGTACCTTTCATTCCTTTATGCTCACGAAAGATGTAACGGTCCAGATCGGATGAGTGAGCTGAATCGTTGCGATTTAACCATTTTTCATTTCTGTTTGACAAGGAAGTGTTGAAAATCTCAAACCCTCACTGAGCTTTGAAATGATAACGTTTGCAAAAAGAAGCCGGTTGACAACTATGTTTTTGATGATCATAACTTCCGATAGGTTCAGTTCTTCCAGTTTAGTTTGAGTGAATGGCTCTATGTAATTATCCACTGACAAAGTCAAATTTGAAGATCTGTATTTCAATATCGACCTTGTTATGTAAGGTGTTGGGAGTTTCTTTTGAGACGCACGAATCCAGCTATCATGATCCTTAATAGTTACTATCGGTATATTAAAAGATGTGTAGCTATACTAACTCCGGTAGGAGTTTCGGTTGTTAAATTTATGTGAACCATTAGGTGCTCATAAATCAAAAACCAATATTTTGTATTAGCATGTGATTGATTTTGTAATGCATCAAATTTTTTTTTTTGAAATTCGAAAAGTAAATGTAAATACGCTTTTTAAATATTTTATAATATTTCAAGTGTCTCTGTCAACTTGGATAACTAGGCAATCATACGCGTATTTTTATAATTTATTTAACTCGTAAAAAAAAAAATAATGATGGCACATTTCTAATCTACATTTGGTAACTTGCGACAACAAAGAAAAATAATGATAATGATATTTTAATAAATTCCGACAAAGAAAGTAAGATTTCTTATAAAGTCAAAGTAAACACCAGTTCATATTAAAAAGAACATCCAGTTGGCAAGATAAACATTCTTTCAGATTTTCATCTTAACATTTGCTATCAGAAAGAATAATATATTTGTTGAATCTGAAGGCGCTGCCCAAATAAAATAAAAAAATTTATTTTTTAAATTTAAACAAATACAATCAGATAAATAAAATTTAAGAAAGTTTACCAAAATAAATTAATCCCTTTTTCTTTTCAGTTTCTTTAAATCTTTCAAACATTCTCCAATAATGTACATTGAATAATAGCAGTCATCCTCAGTTCCGATCTTTGAGCTGTCCAAACAACGCTCTCTGGGATTTTTATGCGCTTAAACATAACCATATCATTATTTTCAACAGCCCCAACAGCTTCAGCATTCATCGTTAAGAAAAACTCCACCGCGCAATCGTAATCGATCCCTGCTTCCTCTATAACAGTTCTATATTTTTTCAAATATTGAGGATCATTGTTAAAATTTTTTGAAAACAATTTTTGTTGATATTCATATAATCCAAAAGGCATTTTAGTTTTTTAGTCATCATAAAATCTCTTGCTTCAGTTAAGCTGTATTCCGAAAGCAATGCATCTTGTTCAAATTCAATAATCAACATTTTTCGTAATTCATAGGAAATTTTGGGTTGAAAGAAATTATCAAACATTTTGACATAAGTTATGGTAGGTTCAGAATATATGGTTTTCTTATTATATTAAATCCTTCAGTGATGAGAGTCATTCTGTTTGAAGTAATTGTGGATTCATTAATAAAATTTTCGCTTCCATAGAACTCGTTGAAATTACACCATCAGTCTTTTAAATTGGTGAATTGCCAGAATTATAAATCATTGACATTAGTTTTACACACAAAAGAAGAATAGAAAATAGGCTTGCTTTCCATGTTTTTATAAAAATGTTTTCGATTTGAAATAAAATCGTTCATGAACACAAGTGTAAGGAGTGAGAAATCTTTTTTTTTTTTATCGTACCACGTGATAAATTTATTAGTTTTGTGATACTTGAATAATGATGTCCAACTTTTAAATAGATTAAAACAAAAATATAGTTATGAATAACCTATATATTTGCTTATTTTATCCACCAAATTTCAAAATGGAAAGAATAAACTGATGTGTTTTCATACATTTGCTTGCTTACCGTCACTTATATTCGCAATTTACGAACGTAATAAAGATATTTAATGGTCTATGGTATTAATCGGCCAGAGGTTTTTTATAGTAGTATTAAAAATTTTAGCATATCGACTTAAAATTCTATAATGAAAACTAATATCTAACGATATATAGAACTGAAATGAGGAAAATATCATATCAAACGCCAGGAAGAAAGCTAATTCTTAACCAATTAAAATGTTAGAAAAGTAAAGCTTAATTTGTACAGTCCCCGTCAAAAGTAATGGCGGACAGTTTTTTTAACCTTATACATGTAATTTTATATCAAATATAGGTAAA